TGAATGAATGAACGAGTAATGTAGATTTATGTATTAAGAGCCATATGATAAATTTGCACTCTGTGAGATTAGGTATTTTGAAGCGTCCTGAGTTCTCGACAACTTGTTCAAGGTCACCAGTCTAGAATACTGTGTTGAAAAACTATGATTAAGCTTTTTTGATGCTTTCTATGGTGCTATTTCTATGGTGTGATTTGTTATCGATTCCCGAACATTTGAATACGACTACTCAAGAAAAGGAGTCGAGTCGAGGAGTCGGAGTTGCTAAGATCAAACTAAAATTTGTTTAGCCATGCTTTAGTACAACTTGTTTCTTTTATTTTTAGTTCTATTATGGCGATGGTGTTTTTTTATAGATAATTTAAAGCTCTCCAACTTTTCTTTAGATGCATTCGTATATCTCTTACCGTTAAGAGATTTTTTAAGGAGCCTTTAAATGGGATAAAAAGTAGCTTATATATTAATCCAGTGTAACAATTGCCTCTATACCAAATGTCATCAAAATCCGTTCATTCCTTTTTTGCTTGAAGAAATAACAAACATCCAAATCTACAAACTTTTGCTTTCATAATATTATAGTAGGATAAATGTCCGAAACGTTCTCAGAAATTATTAATTATTTATATACGAGTCTAATTTTAATTGTCATTCAAAATTAAATGAAAATAAAATAGTATTCGAATACTATATGCCTTAATGGCATTGATCTAGATTTTCGAGAGTCGACTATTTCTGGTAGCAGACACTCGTAGTAAAAACGCATCAAATGGGTAACATCTCGTTGTTCCAAAAGTTGTAATTCCGTTGAACTCTCAATACTATTATTATATGGTCCGGACCAGACCAAACTGCAAAAAGGCAGATATTTTTTTTGCAATATGAAGCTGGCCCTGTATTTGGTAAAACCAATCATGTTTCTCATTCATCTGGGTTCATGTTGTATGCGGAAGACGGGCATTTTATTTCGACTAAGCCTTCTTCGCAAATTCCATCTGGAGAAGCTCCCAAAAAACAATGGTTCTCATTTATGAATAACCCACATTTGTGGATTTTAACATTTTCTTGCATACTTACCTGTTCCAATGCCACGGTTTAATTTTCCATTCCATGTTAAACAGGAGGGCACATGACTTAAATTATAGTGATACAAAATATTTTCCACCAGTGCGGCAGAATTCTGGTTAGGGTTAATTCTTGCAAATTTTTGAAAACTTTGATGCCGTCAAAATGCATCTTCGAAGTTCGACCTACAATGCGCTTTCTGCTTGTAGAAATCGAACATAACACCGTTCGATTTCTAAACGATTTAATGCTATTTTTTTAATATTATCTAAAAACAGCATTTTTGCATTTTCGAAATCTTTTGGGTCCATATCTGGTTGTTGACATTCTTTGCCGTAATTTTCATCTGGTTTAGTTTGGTTCTACAGCGCTTTGCACGGGTTTTATAGTATGTATTTTGAGCATATAGTTTGCGTTCTAATTCGCTTATAGACTTTCCTAGACTCATGCCCAAAAATGTCTTGTATAAAATGTATTGTGGCTTGCGACTACTGAAAGCGACTACTGCAGCATATCAACGTGCTTGGTATGAGCCTTTTAAAGAATAATTTATTCTTTTGCCACCTACAATTTTGGCTATAACATTATTAAATTGTTCAGCACGATTGTTAGTAAAATTTTTAAGAAGATTCTTGAAATAAAATGCTATTATTGATGCATTATTTCGTAACTTCAGCATTAAAGTTGGTATTACCGGAACTAGATTTTGTTCTGCTTTTCTTTCCGATGTGCAGTAATAATCTTCACATTTCGTGTGGTCACTAAAAAGTATTTAATGTCTTTCTGCAAATTCAGGATTTTTGTTTCAAGAGAAACATTTTTTTTAATAAATTTACATGCAGAGCGGATAGCAGTTCGCAATCTGGTGAGGCGATCTCCGGTAAAAAAATTGCGTTTGCTTAGTGCAACCGTAGTATCTTTTTGTAATTGCATATTTTTACCATTGTACACATTGTTTACGAGATTTCTTTGCTCTATTGAACACTAAAAACCTTCGAGCAGTATAGCTTGCTCCATGCTAGTGGATGAACCAATATGGTTTTTTGTGCAGTCATGATGTTTTGGTGTTAGTTTTTTGGAATGGTCGAAAGCGCAATCGATACAGTTTTAGGCGAATTAATGAAAGGCTGACTAAACTTGAGAATTGATTTATTTTATGATAAATATGTAAAGGGTAAAGAAAAAAAACGCTTTTTGGGTTTGCCGTGATACAAATATTTGAACGATATTTCAAGATATAATTTTATTTGAAATAATATATATAATTTCTATTTAATCTTAATAACTTCACATAATATTTTATATTTAAATTTATACGATTTACAATAACATGTTTGCAACTGAAGACTGACATTCATAAAGAGCATATTTGATTAGTCAAAATTTTAAATTATGAAAGATGAATAATAAAAAGAAATGATCGGCTTCCAGCGTCTTTATTCCGGATTATCATCGTTATTCACCAGTGTGCGCGGTCTTCCTCGTGGCTCATTCTTCAAGTCGAAGATTCCATCACAAAAGCGTTTAAACCAAAATCGCACAGTGCGTTCATTAGCAGACCCCTGTCCAAACGCAACATTGATATTGCGGGCTGTTTCTGCCGCGTTACTTCCGCTTTGGAATTCGTATTAAAAAATAACTCAAATTTTCGCAGTATCCATCTTTCTTGTCTAAATCGAATAACAAACACAATTGAAAGTCGATATTCAAATATTCCACATTTTTTAAAAGAACATCATAGAAACCATGTGAAAAAAGTTTCTTTTGAAAACCTCAAACCATGAAGATTCTATGTCAATTCAAGGGACCTATTACAAGAAAAGGGCAATTTTATATTTTAACCCCTAATATTATATAAATCATGAGAATATACTGAAAAAAAAATTGTACACTTTCATGATATGAATTGGATTCGATTTATTGTCTTGTAATCTACATACAGTCTGTAGGTTTTAACATCTTTTTGAGCAGCAAGCAGCAACTATGAGTACGGTTATGAACAGAGATTCTTCATCTGGAAACCTTACCAGTAGTTGTTAGACATAACAAGACAATAGAATTTATAATGTTCGTTAGTAGTATCAAAAGCAAAATTAATTTATATAATTGAAGCACTAAAGAACTGGCGACTAGGCCAACGTGCGCCAAAGGGAGGGGGGAGTGGGAGCACTCCTTCCCCACCACACACCAAAGAGCAGAGAAGCATAGTTTAGAAGAAAAAATATTTTACTACTATTTAATACTTTACATTAAAGTTTCGTTTTCTCGTGAAATATTATATACGAAAGTAGGAAGACTAAAAAACCTTTACTTTTATTTCATTTGAAAAATAACTCTGAAATTTATCATTGTTGTTATTTGTTTAAAAAAAATAAATCACGAAAGTAGGCTGTACGCATATAAATCCTTTTGCTTTTTGATAAAGTCAGTGTTTAAGACAAAAACATGAGCAAATGTACAGAATAAAATAAACTGGACAAGGGTATAAGCAGTACCCGGGGACACGGGTGGTAACACCTTAGAATAGAATTAAGAAATATGTATGAGAATTTCGCAAACAAAGTCCTGCAAGTTTGTGGGGGTAGTTAGGACGCTCGGCCATAGATTGTAAGGCCGGGCTTTTAAAAAAAAAAAAAAAAAAAAAAACTACTTTAGTATCTGTGTGTGTATGAAAAAAAATATTAATATAATTTGCGTGGTCGCCGATACTAAAGTTGAGACATATAATTAATTAAAAGATTAAAAGAAGATATTTAGATAAAGCCACGTTAAACAAAAAGAAAATATAGAGAAAATTGAAAATGAATAGTAGTGGCAACACTAATGACAAAATGTCTAAATTGGATTTGTGATACTTCTTTATATTTTTATTTTAAAAAGTTAGATTTATCGCGCCCTTTATGGTTGTATTATAATGTTACGTTATCAGAATAAAATTTACGCTGTTTTAATACGCAATTATCTGTGGGTATGACGTGCGTGTATTATAAATAAAATATTAATGTGTTTATTATATTAAAGTAACAAGTATCAAGATGTCTTTATCCTTTTTCCCGAATATTGCGTTCTACAAATGAGGAAGTATTTTAACAAAAAAAGAAAGCACTAAAATTACCTCACTTGAAGGCGACTCTAGCAAAAGTTGATTTTTGTAGGAAACGAATAGACCAAATTAGTCATTTCCGTTCCTTTTTACTTACATATTAAAAAAGAGAAATTTGCAAAGTTGAACCTTAGATATCAATACAAATAGAATATAAGTTGTTTAATGAGTTTTGAAAATGAATTTACTTTTATACATGAAAGAAAACCGGAATGACTGTCATTGAGAAATCAGGAAATTACCGTAGTGACATCTAGTTTGATTTCACGAACTAATGTTTTTTTTTAATACTTATTATTTCCCGCAATGACATCAGATTCTGGTACACCTTATAGGTATATTGGTATTCGTCTGATTTAGGGATCATCGCCATCTTTCATTAATTTCAATTTCATTTTACATGAAGTAATTAATTTATTCACTTGACATTGGCAGAATTGTGTTAAATGCGCAGATAAGCCATTAATGAAAGAAGTCTGATTTATGGAGGATGAAAAGTGGCCAAGACCGGCGACAAAGGATGCATAATGCCTTGCCTTTGCCTTTCTAAACTTATTTCTGTGTTTTGTGTTGTACACAACACTTTGTTTACTTTTTTAAATTCATTCATAATTATCAAAAGTACGTCAAAAATGGAAAATTTTCGCAATTGATAATCTAACCTGTTGATGCATATAAAAGTTAATTAGTGGAGCAAAATCTTAAAATTGAACTTGTGTTACAGATAATGTATTCTGTATTGTACTATAATTATTTTATTTTCGGGTTTAATAAAACGTTGTTAATTCATAATGAAAACTAAACAAGAATTTAATAAAGAAACCCTCATTTCTAGAGTGGAGCGTGAAGTTACAGCTCGTCTGAGAGCATCTCAAGATGAAGCATACGCTGAATCATTAGCTGCAGATCAAGAGAAGGAACGACGACGCGCGGCGGAACGAGCCGCCCTCGAACAACAACACAATGAAGAAGTGCGCAGAAAAGAACTAGAACAGAAACATAAGCAAGATGTAGGTTTTATTTATGTTAATTTTATATAGGAGGCCACTACGGATGGTTTCACGCGCACGCACAAACATGTTAAAGAAGACACCGTTGACACATGTGTCTATCATTGTATCTATCATTCATAGCTAATGAAATTGATATATTTGATTGTGCTCTGAGTGAGTTGACAAAAGTCGCAATATTTGTCTGTTTATATAACATTTACTATAAAGTAAGGTTTTTAATTAACATAAGAAATTAGGATTGCATTGGATAAAATATGAGAATTGCAATATTTACTGGAGGTATAGACATTAATATATTGATGTTTATCTCCATTGTATATAATTATATTTAAATTTAGATTATAGGGATTGCATGAATTTTGTCATTGACATACATATGATGTAGTTTCCATAGTTGGAAGAATTTCAAGATCTGATTCAGTATTTCTGAAGATTACTCAACTACAAACAAAGTTAGAAACTTTATTTAACAAAGTTAAAGTCTTTATTAAATTAGTATAGATATCAATCAATCCTGTCTGTGATGATTAGTTAGAGAAGGCGCGCGCGGCAATGGCGGCTCGTCTGCCGGCGGAGCCAAACGCCGGCGCAGGCACCGTCGTGTTGTTGATCCGTCTGCCAGGCGGCGAGAGACTCACGCGGAGATTCACTCTCATGCACACTACGCAGGTAAGTACCTCTAAACTCAGGTCATTTTCAGACCAGAGGAGAATGCTTTATACATACACACATACACTTATGATACATATATTTATGATGTATTAAAAAGTTTATTATGCACCTACTACTTTGTTACCCCATCACATGACAGGCAGCAGGGGACTTTGGACTTGTGTGGGACTTTCCATCTGCACGGACACACCTGAAGGCTAGTCGAAACGTGGATAGCATACGCAGTAACCTCATTATGGAGGAGGCTTGAGTGGGGCATTCCTTGCCTAAGGATGCAACAATAGATCGGAATACCAATATGTTCTATCGATATAAATATATGTTCTAGTTTTTTTCTTACAGAGATAACGAAGCCTTATAACAAATGAAGCCCAATAAGTAAATTTATATAGGTTCTCCAAATTTTAACATCGAATGGCTGATCTTTACATTTGACATTAGTGTCATTTGTGAACGGCAAAACTGTTCCTCAGCGCATTCAGAAATGACTTTTGAATTGAAGTTGATAGTAGTAGTTTTTACTATCAATATTGATTCAAAAGTCATTTATGGTTATTTGATATTTAGTAAACAAAATGGATAAATGCTGGATACTGTGTGTGTAATGCATCTTTATAAGTTGAATGTTTTTTTAATCATTGTCAAAAAATATATTAGTTTTCTGCACTTTTTCACCTTACAAACTTTCAAATTTTGTACTTCATATAAAAATATATATATTTAAATAAGTTTGCATTCACAATGTTATACTGGAAAATGTTCATGAAAAATGCTTAAAAAATCCACTTTCCCTGTTATAATGTAATATTTAAATGTTACTCTGAGATGGGATTCGAACCCACGACCTCTCGCAAACCCGGCGACTACTCTAACCACTGAGCTACTCGGGACCGAACAGGACTAACAAATTTTTCAAGCACTTCTACAGAGCGTATTTTTATCAATGTTCAGACTGTTCATTTCAAACTGTTTTGACGAAAATTATAAGTACATATATAGTACCTTTTGGATATTAAAAGTAATTTGATTGCTTTCTATCTTTCGCAGGATTTGTACGATTTCGTGTTCAGTCATCCACAGTCTCCTGAAGAGTTCGAGATAACGACCAATTTTCCTAAACGAGTACTTGTAAGGGGCGCGGCAAACCTCTGTGATGCCGGCCTGAAAGATCGTGATGTGCTATTTGTGAATGACATGAACGCTTAAAAGCTGTGTCGTCGAACCAATGTGGCACATTTCAATAGTTTTTCGCGACTGAGTGGTTGACATAATATTGTGAACTCGCAATATAAAATGATTGCATTTATTTTATCTACATTATTGATTGGGGCAATGTGAAGTTTCAACCACTTTTAGCTATTGTATTGATGCTAATAAAAAGTGGAATATAATAAACCTATTTTGCTATATCAGCACTTGAAATAGGTAATGGCTGGAACACTAATTTAAAACGTGACTTCACGAATATATTTTTGTGCTACTCGTTTAAGTTGAATCATAGAGTATTGTTTTTTATGGTCTGAAGTACACTTTAAACAGACGACATAGTGACATGCTCATATAATTATTGCTGCCGCTGGTGTCGTGATTTAAAATGTGTTCCAGTCATAGTACTCTGATGAATATGCATAATAGATTTTTATACATGATTTTCATGTTAACTCGCCACTATTCTTATTGAAATGTAAATACGATTTACGGGATGGTTAAGTTCCCTCGATCTATAAGCGTCTTTCAGTTACTCTTTCTTTTTGATTGCTCTAACCAGTATTCTAGAAGAGTTTGGGCCGATTAGCTCGGATATTGGATGAAACCAATTCGTAAATATTTTTTTTTAAATATTATTCTTCAAATATTCTCTTTAAAATCTGAGTATGACTTGAATAACGTTTCCGAAATAAATATATAGGTATCTTTTTTATACTGTTCCTGTGAATGGTTACTTTGTGTATTTACTGAAACCAGAGTATATGTAAAATTGGACCTTGAAATTTTGTTAAATGTTTTTGTCTTAAACACTGACTTTATCAAAAAGCAAAAGGATTTATATGCGTACAGCCTACTTTCGTGATTTTTTTTCTTAATTACTAGTATATCCACGTGTGTGTATACTTCAATAGCATATTTGTTTTATTAGATACATTCGATGAGCACTAAAATTTGCAACGTAATGCGAGTATCTGCCAGTTTGTTAGTACCGTGACGACATTTTTTGCAATTGGACGTAGTTACTCAAAAAGGATCCAACCCCCAAATTGGTCGAAAATGAGTTATGTATAACAAAATGTACATCAGGATCTATACTTTCATATAGGAAAAAAGCTCTGAGCTGTGTTAAATATTTGACGTTTTTTTCATCTCACATCTTTGGTAGATTCATATTTTAGTTCCATGAACACGACTCGAGCTTATTGGATCCATATTGTAAAATAGCAAATTAAAGGCACTAATCTTGGTTAAAAATCACAATAAAGATTCAAAACGCTTGAATCATTTTTGTTAAAAGGTAATTTTATTAAAAGGTGTAGGAAGGTAATTTTAGATAGTGAGAATACATTTGATATTAAAAATTAAAATAATATACACAACGAACCTTTAATAAATAGTTTTTACGATAATGTTTTGGCGTTTCAGTTAATTATGCTATTATTTCTTCATTTAGATCGTTTTTGAGATTTGTTTTGTAAGAATAAGGTAAATAAAACCTAAATATATCAAAAAGGATCCAAACATACTTTAACCTTTATATTTTAATAAATATTATTTGTTCTGTTAAAATGATATTATAATAAGATAATGTAAGAGTTTTTCTATGCTATTAGATAATATATAATATACAAAAATGTTACATCAACATGCAAATACAGCATAAACTTCAATCGTCTAGATCTCAAAAGTGACATTGTGTGGGATGGATCCTTTTTGATTAACTACGTCCAATAGCAAAACAAAAAAAATATATTTTTTTCTTGTCATTTTTAAAGCTAATACGGTCGGTCGGTTTGAATCTGACGAAAGTCAGGCGTCTCGCGGAAGTATTTGTTGGTACGCGACGGATGCTTTTTTATAAATTTGTCATTTCTGACGTTCCGTGACCGAGAAATAAACGACTCATTTTCCGTCAGATATCCGCCGACACTTAAAGCAGTTTACCACGATTATTTAGTTCCTTGTTGGCGTCATTCTAATTGTTTATTATTCTACGAGCAAAGGAGACGTGATATCATATTGAAATCAAAGTTAAGATCACTTTTGAGTGTCGTATCGTATTTGTTAGATATCTCTGGGGTGTGACTCTATTGAAGCTTTATTTCGATGTCTTTTCTTCTACCTCTTCCTTAAAAATGTTTTGCAACGAGCTGGCGGAGCAAAGTAAAGCTGTGTGGCGTCAACTAATAATGTACGGTCAGACAAAATGATTGACACTGCACAAGTCCGCTTCAATATTTCTTACGTGGTAAAGGTGTATTTTTACTTATTTTCAAAGAATTATAATTGGATTGATACTCTTTGAAAGCATAGTTTTATATTTTTATTAAATAATTAATCTCGTGTCTCTTCGGTTTAGTTAAACAGTAAAATAATAATTGAAGCATAAGTTATTGTTTAGTTCTTTTATGAAACATGAAATATTTTATTCAGTGTTAAAAAGCTTATTTATTTTAAGATTTTGGACGTTGGCAATGTTGTTAAATTAAACTAAGATAATTAAGTTATAGTTTTAGTAATAAATTTAATATTTATCGTTTCTCTTCGAGTAAAAATAAAAGACAAATTTTATTTTATATTTCTGTTCCATCCATTACGTTTCGTCTAAAGAGTAGTACAAAAATACTGTAACTGTCCTTAAGATGTTTTTTATCCAACCATTATTGTCGTGTAGTTTGGGTCCACTTTAAGTAAGTGATTTTATGTAAGTTTGAGTAATAATGTAATATTTTAATGAAATAGCTGGAAATCAAGGAATCTTACAAGTCGTTTTACAGAAGAGCGAGGAGTGGAAGCGATTCGAATTGAAAATTGCATGATCAAATTTCCTTTCCCACGCGTGTTTTCCCTGTTTTCGCAACGTTGAACTAGAAAAGGGCGAGCTCTATTTAAATGCTTGAATATTGCATTCATTCCTCGCCTTGTTGGTGAGTAACCATAATAATAGTGATCTTGCTTTTTGCGTTTACACTTGCACCTGTCATTGTAATAGTAAACAGTATCTTTATAAATAAAAAACATGACAAGCAAAAAGTTACGCTTTGCCGAGTGACGTGACGTATGTGCACAGCGCATTAGGTTATCTAAAAATGTTAAAATCTCCCAATCGATTTCACGCCATTTTTAAAAAACGAAAGTTGTGTACAGGGTAGTTTACGTTTTATTTACGAAGTTTGTTGTAACTACTTCAGAGTAGTGTGTGAATTTGATGTGCTGCTATTACGAGTAGGCTAGACCGCTACTCTGAGTAGCGATGGCGTCATAATGGCTACTCCCTATGCACGCCTTATCATAAAATAAAACTTGTACAATTGTAAAATTGAGCTAGTATATACTATGCACTACCTATGGGCAAAATATCGATACCTGTCATATTTTATCACTTGTTTTTAGTTAATAATTCTTATATGAATACTTGAATTACTTATTAATAGATCTATTGGTAAGTTTTGTGTAAAAGTTGCAAGCGATACAGGCGGTCACAATATTATTTAGGTACTTATATGTTTGCGTTTTTTGGTATAATGACAATTTTGGTATGAAATAGAAACAACTGATGTCTTTCAGTTGTGCTTTAGAGGCGCAATGCATTGTGTTACGAACTGTACGAGCATTTAAACTTAAATGTGTGTACATTATGATTTGTTGTATAAAAAATAATAACGACGTTCCTTCCTTATTTGTTTGTTTCATTTATATTTTTCAAAATTATAATGTATCAGTGAAACCCACATAATTAATGCAAAGGTACTGTAATAATAAATAAATTATCAATATTTTGTTCTATTTATTTAAAAATAATTTTGACAACTGAATTATTACAATGAATTAACTTTACCTCGAATGTAGGCACTTTTTAATATACACACTTTGTTTAGGGTTTTTCCATGAATTTTAAAGCACTCTTGACGTTTGAATCGTTACAGTAAAGGGTTTAGCCGGATACGTATGACGAGTCGGCCCCCAAATGGGAATCGATATTGAAACTTATGTTTTAATATCGACTTGATGTTCAAACACGATTTATGTACTTTTCGCGACCGACTTCCGCTTTGACCTTGAGATAGAGAGCAAAATATCCGTATGCTTGACTATTACTGAATGTGATATATCTCTGAAGCTAATTAAGATAAAGAAGTGAAACTAACGCGAGGTGTTAGGTTACATTACAGAGTATATCACATATATTTTTTTATAATTTTTAGAATAAAAAATTACATAAAAAAATTAAAAATAAAAAAAAACATGTTTTTTTTTCTGAGTTCTCTGTGACTTACAATCACGAAATTAATATATGTTATGCTCCTTTGTGTGCTCTATCACCCATAAAAATTGCGTGAAAAAAAAGTTGGTGCAACACAACGAAAAAAAATTATATGTGATTTCTGTCTTATGGTATACCCCTGTATTATAAGGTTTTCACATAACATCATTGTTTTTTTTTCGAAATTTCACATCAGCTTGTTTTAAAACATAAGTAACTAGTCTTAAGAGATGGGATAATAGTTAAAAAAGAAATGAAAAAAAAAACAGCCAGTGTTCAATACTCATTATTATTACTTTTTCGTGTCTATCAAAATACAAGAAACAAAATATTAATCATCGTCACTGTTGTAATTAATTACAATCGGAACACTTTGAGTCGCAAATAAATTAGTTAGGACCTCAGCAGGACGTACGATTTTGGACAAATATCATCCATATGATAGATAATAAATAATAGCTGCTACATGAGACCAGCATCCCACTGTACGTTTGCCATTGGGGCAATCACAGCAATAACGAAGAATACTATTGTAGTCATTACCTTCGGAAATATAGTGAATGTAAATTCGATAGACTTTTCTATTTATATGTCTTGATTTTACTTCTGCTTTGATGATATTAGGTGCTGATTTCACATATTGTACTGAGAGATTATTTTGATCGTCCATTATTTCGGCCAAGTTAAATGCTGCACATTTAGAAGTAGAAGCTTTTTTGTTAATATATGGGATAAGTCGACACTTCTTACAAAAAATATCATTAACTATTACGATTTTATTCAAACAGTCACTAAACACTTTAGCTTCTTCTTCATTCTTTATAATTTTTTTATAACCAGGAATCTTACTAACTAACTAAGTTATTTGCGACTCAAAGTGTTCCGATTGTAATTAATTACAACAGTGACGATGATTAATATTTTGTTTCTTGTATTTTGATACACACGAAAAAGTAATAATAATAAGTATTGAACACTGGCTGTTTTTTTTTCATTTCTTTTTTAACTATTATCCCATCTCTTAAGACTAGTTACTTATGTTTTAAAACAAGCTGATGTGAAATTTCGAAAAAAAAAACAATGATGTTATGTGAAAACCTTATAATACAGGGGTATACCATAAGACAGAAATCACATATAATTTTTTTTCGTTGTGTTGCACCAACTTTTT